CCAGAGGTTTGCAGAACACTGTCCCTGCCCTGGCCCAGCCTGGACAGTGCTTGCAGTGGCTGTCATCATGTCTGCTGCACACTGACTCCAAGAATTACTGTGGACACCATCAGCCACAGTGATCCAGGAAACCTCCATGCTGCCACACTCATGTCCTCTCTAGATGACTTACAATGTCAAACGCAGCAGAAACACCTTGCAAATAGCCATTGCGCTCTTGTGTTTAGAGAGCCATGGAAAGAGGTCTGTATGAGCTCAGCACAGATGTGACCGCTGTGTCGGCAAAGTCACTTTCCCCAATGCGCCTGCCCTGTGCTTATCGACTATGCAAGTGTGTGACCCTCCCGTGTGGTATGCTGGCACAGGGGTTCCAGTGTTGAGCACAGTAAGGCAGACCTAGTCTTGGGGAACTCAAGGGGTGCAGGGGATGGTCATCATTCAATGACTACCCTAGTGAGAACACAGGGTTCTTTGGGAGTTCTGGGCACCCCCTAGCTGAGGATGACTTTCTAGAGGCTCTGGGCCCTATAACCAAGCCTGAACAACAGCTCCCTGACTTCATGAAGCATTTTGAGCCCGTGGGACCCTGTAGGTGCTGACTCTTAGACCTGGCGGGTTGACGTACACAGAACAAAACCAGCACCAAGGCTGGCCCAGACCCGAGCGGCACAAGGAACCCCCTTTTCAGTCAGCTCATCAGGTTGCTTTGCTTAGTTGAGGGGTACAGGAAGGCAGGGCGAGGTGGGCACCGGGGCACTGGAGACCTGTTAGCTCTCAGAGACAGGGGCCAAGATCTCTAATGATTTTTATATTCTTCACCCACTCCTCAAAATTGATAAAGACTTGGCCATGCTCTTACAATCCCCTTCACTGATAGATTAGCATACCCTTGACTTCTCTAGAGGCATGAGCCCTTCGTCATTTTCAAGCTCCTGCCTTTATTATTTTTTTCTGCCCCACACACCCTCCAGTCTTCACTCACTAGGAGGCTTCGGAAATCCTCTCGGTGAGGAGGCGGCTTGAGATCCAGCTTCGAACAAAGAGAAATTTGCATGTCTTCCAGTCCTGTGTAATTACCCATTTCCTCTTTCCGGCTCCATCTTGAGAGCAATTACTGCAGGAGCAATCTTTTCCTACATAAGCACTTGAGGCAGCCAGGCTGCTGCCATGACTGGGCCAAATCTGTCAGACTTTAGGGTCCACAAATTCTGACCCCAGCACTCCTCGGAGATGTGGCCCGGGCTCCAGAAGGACCACAAACGACAGGAGATCAGAGGATGACTTCTTGTGGCTGTGGTTCTTATATCCTTAATAGTTATTAACCACCGGGCATATTCCTGCTGGCAAGTGGAAGACTAAAATCAGTAATAATAATTCCAGCATCCCAGCTTGTGGTTTGCTGTGTAGTCTCAACACACTGTTAGAAAAGCAACACTGGACACTTAACATTTCCAACATCAGTGACCTAGCTAAGGGGCCACTCCTAGGAAGGCAGTTTCACCTTAAGGCGAACTAAAGAGACTGGCAGGATGCTTATTCCTTTAATGAGAATCTCTTCCTTCCTTCCTTCCCAGAATTCCTCAGCAACAATCCCTAGGAGCCGGGCCACGGCAGGATGGCTGGAACCTGTCTGCCTTTCCAAGTCTCTTCTGTGTTTATATTTCAGATGAGGACCACGCCTGTAGACACATCTCTGGTACTTTGGACTTCCATATTTTTCCTGTAAATGCTCTAGTCTGCTCACTGTGACTGTCTGTGCTCAGCACCCTGACTATAAAGCCCTTGGGGAGGAAAGAGTTCACGTCAGTTTATAAGTCACAGCCCACCATGGAGGGCGGGTAAAGCAGGGACTGCAGCTGGAACCTGGCAGCAGGGACTCAAGCAGAGACCATAGAGGACTGCTGCTTGCTGGCTTGCTTCCTCTGAGCTTGTTCAGCAACCAGGAAGTGCCTCACAGATATGTCTGCAGGCCAGTCTGATGGAGGCCTCAGTTGAGGCTGCCTCTTTCCAGACGCCTCTAGTTTGTGTCAAGCTGAAAAGAAACTAAAAGTCCCACCCACTTCCCTCCGTGGAGCCAATTTCAAGCTGTCTTAACTAGAGATTGCGTTTTGTTTGTTTGTTTGAGACAAGGTTTCTCTATAAAACAGCCCTGTGTGTCTTAGAACTCTCTCTGTAGACCAGGCTGGGCTCAGATTCACAGAGATCCTCCAGCCTTTGACTCCCGAGTGCTGGAATTAAAGGTGTGTGCCACCAACACTGCCTGGCTTAAATTCTTTTATTAGTGAGGCTAGGAACCCTGAGGAGAGGTCTGGATTTCTCTGGTATCATCTGACAACTATGAAGAGACACCTCCAAACCTTCTGGTAACAGTCTGAGTAGCAAAGTCAGGATTAGGGGTCAACATACTTGCTTGTCCCACAGCCAGCCCTCCAATGGAGCAGTCTGCCGCCTGGTAACAGTATGATCCAGAGAGTCATTTTAAAGGCCAGACCTGCCAGTGGTGGTGGCACACACCTTTAATCCCAGCACTCGGGAGGCAGAGGCAGGCAGATCTGTTTGAGGTCAGCTTGGTCTACAGAGCAAGTTCCAGGACAGCCAGGATTGTTATATAGAGAAACATTGTCTTGGAAAACCAAGGGGGAAAAAAGCCGGAACTGCACTTTTGATGGCTGAGCTCTCTGATTCAGACCTGTCACTAGCTGCTGGTTGTAGGCACACAGTTGCTTCCAGAGTATTGCTGTATGATGGCCCCTGGTCACCCAAATGCAGTTGGCTAAGGCTACACCAACATTGTCCTCACGCAAACCTGTTCCTCTCCAGTCTCCAGGCAACAGAGCTGGAAATTATCCTCAGCTGACCGCACTCCCTCATTCCTCAAGGAATGAAGAAGCTGGGTGTGTTAGTTGCCTTTCTGTTGTTGTGATAAAATACCTTAATAAAGGCAATGCCGAAGAGAAGGGGTTTATTCTGCTCACAGTTCAGTCCATTGTTTTTTTTTGGGGGGGAGGGTCAGTGTTAGGAATAAAGCAGTAGGGGTTGGGACCCTGCATTGCAGGTCCCCTGTCCCGAGGCAGGTGGTGGACAGCAGGCAGATGGGGAAGCAGAGATGCGTGCCTCCCACTCCCGTTCCTCAGAAGGTCAGACAGGACTTTCCCTGTCTCTCCCCATGCCCCTTTCTCTCCTGTCTTCTCTGTGTCTCTTTACCTCTTTTCTCTTTCCTTCCTTTATTTTCTTACCTCCCCCTCAATAAAACAAAGACATGGCTGCAAGGTGGACATAACAAGATAGTTATAACAACAGGCCATAACAACCTTTGGAAACAAAGACATGGTTGCCATTCGGGGTACAGGCAGTACAGAACCGTTTGTAGTTAGGATTACAGGTGGGCATAGCCCAATGCTTGAAAAGCAGAGGTTTAATCATAAGCAGGGATGAACCTAGTTTATCTCTGCTATAGGATGGCTTTTAAGCCCAAGACGGGGGCAGGCTAGTTTATCACTGACTACTCAGTGATAGGGCCAGGGTTCAAATCCATGCTGTTCTCTGGCCCCTGGCGTGAGACACTAAATAAATACAAGAAAAGGATAGTGAAGATCACATTTCCACTGCTTTTGTTGTTTTGTTGGAGACGGGGTCTTATGTAGGCAAGGCCATCCTAGAACTCAAAATGTAGCCAAAGCTGTCTTTAAACTCCTCATTCTCCTGCCTCTACCTCCTAAGTGTTGGCATGATAGACATATAGTGCTATATTCTCAGGAAGAAAAAAAAAAAAGAAATCTTTGTTTTGTTCTTTGAGACAGAGTTTTCTTATTATGTCAAGATGACCTTGAACTCTGTGTAGCCCAGGGTAATCTTATCTAGCAGCAATCCTCCTACCCCCACCCTCTCAAGTGCTGAGATTATAGGCATGTGCCACACTGTGCCTGCCCAGTTCACAAGGCTTTAAAAGCATGCAACTTTCTCAGTGATGGAGTATAGCAAGCAGGCAGTGGCCACCTCTCACTCAGCACAGCAGCAGTCAGTACCCTCCTCGTACACGGGAGGATATCACACACTGGAGGACACCGCCCCCCCCCCTTACATCATAGGACACACACTGGAGAGTCCTGGGGCTCTTCCAAAGTCAGGACACTGCTCTGGCTTTAGGAGAATACAAAGGTGTTCAAGTAGGGAGTGTGAGTATGTTGCACATTGTATATGTGTGTTGTATGAACGTATTATGTGTATACTGTATGTTATACGAAGGTGATGTATTTGTGGCTGGTGTGCAGCTGTAGTATGTGTGCTTTGTGAGTTGGGGTATATGGTATGCATACGGTGTGTGTGTCTATAGTGTGTGGATGTGTTCTATGAGTGTGTGTGGTATATGAGGTATGTATGTGCTATACTTGTGGCTTGTGGTATGTGCGTGCTGTGTGAGTGTGGAGAAGTGGGATCAATGTCCATGTGGCATGTTTGTGGTGTGTGTTTGTGGTGTCAAGGATAATGCATTTTGTGAAGCAAAGTCCTCAGTATGTCCCTTCTGGAAAAGAGGAAAAGAGTGAGTTGTGAATGGCCTAGATGGTTACAGACTGTGCATATGGGTTTCTGCAAGGGCTGGCAGAGGAAAGATTCCTATGAGACAAGAAGGAAATCTGGTTCGACGTGACTTAGCCGATGTTGGTTCAAACTTCTAGAATCTGACCCCAGGAAGTTTATTTCTGACATATTTAAACATAGTACAACTTTAGGAAAACGTTTCCTGGTGGCAATTATCCCAACAAAGCTTAAGGCATGACTACATCAAAAATCCTTGCAAAGTACATGTGGTCTCTTCTATAAGAATGGGTTCTGGCTGGGCGGTGGTGGCACACGCCTTTAATCCCAGCACTCGGGAGGCAGAGGCAGGCGGATCTCTGTGAGTTCGAGGCTGGGCTGGACCGACAGCCTCCAAAACAATACAGAGAAACCCTGTCTCGTAAAAAAAAAAAAAGAATGGGTTCTGGAGTCGACTTCTTACTATGTCTTCTCACAAGATTTTCAGAATCAAGCGATTCCTGGCCGAGAAACAAAAGCAAAATCATCCTATTCCTCAGTGGATTCGGATGAAGACTGGTAACAAAATCAGGTACAACTCCAAGAGAAGACACTGGAGGAGAACCAAGCTGGGCCTGTAAGGATTCACACAATCAATGGCAAGAATTGAGAGTTTGCACTGAATCATGGTCAACGGAAGCTATGCTACCAGATGGAGTTCAACATTTTTAAGTTGGGAATGGTTTGTCCAGTAATAAAAAATATAGAGCCTTTCAAAAAAAAAAAAAAAAAGAATGGGTTCTGCCGGGTGGTGGTGCATGCCTTTAATCCCAGCATTGGGGAGGCAGAGGCGGGGGATCTCTGTAAATTCTTTGAGACTAGCTTGGTCTACAAGAGCTAGTTCCAGGATAGCTTCCAAAGCCACAGAGAAACCCTATCTCAAAAAAACAAAAACAAAAACAAACAAACAAACAAAGAATGGGTTCTACTGACTGAGAAGCAATGCTCAGGTCAATGATCTAGTGGGGAAGACTCTGGGAAAAAAGTAATAGTCTGGGGGAATTAGGTAAGGCCTGACCATTCCCAGCTTGCCAAGAGGAAACAGGTATACAAACCTTCCACTGAAGAGACAAGCATGAGTGTTTAACATTCCTGGTTTCGTTATGAGCACAGGGACCTTGTGCCCTGTACAAGGGGTGGGAGATAGCCCCCAATCCGAGGGTCACCCTCACAAATCCAGTCATATACCGAAAGACTCCCAGTAAAGAAAGGATATCACCTAAGACCATGGAGACATGACCAGAAACTCTAAGTTAGCCTCTGGGACACTGCAGTGAGGGCTCCAACCCCGTGGAGCACCTGACCCATGATAGCATTCCTGTGAGCAGAGCTAGGCGTGCACTCTTGCCTCTATTGGTTACAAGACTGTAACCTCAGAGGTCCAGGAAGACAGGAAGAAAGTGGGTCAGGCGCTGCTGGTAGGAGACGTGCATGGATTCCTGAGGAAAACAGATGAATCTTGGTGTGCCAAGTGACCTGTCAGCACTTTCTCATGGCTAATTATGTGCTGGACTACAAAATCACCGATTTTGGAGTCTCCTCTGAGGAGAGCAAAGAAATTGACAAAGATCACACGCAACTTCACTTTGGGAAAATGGTTCCTTGGCCTGGATTCCTCAGTCATAAATTAAGCATATCAAATTAACCATGCCATGGCAGTACACACCTTTAATCCCAGCACTCAGGAGGCAGAGGGAGGTGGTTCGAGGCCAGCCTGGTCTACAGAGCAAGTTCCAGGACAGCTAATGAAACCCTGTATCGAAGAGGGAAAAAAAGGTATCAATTTAAATGTTCAAGATTGAACCATAATATTTGGTGCATGGTGTGTGGTGGTGGGGATGGAACCCGGGACCTTAAGCACATGATGCTCTCTCACCGCTCATTCAGAAAGCCACACTTCTAACGAAGGAGGGAAAAGGTGACCCTCAGACCTGTGGAGGGGATGAGAGGCTGATGGCAGGAATGACATCACACAGCAGAGGCAGTTCTGACTCTCAGGGGAACAGGTGATACAAAAGGGATACTCAGGGGTTCATGTCCAAGGGGCATCTATGGGTGAGACCTCCCTGAGACAGACACACATCAGAAGTTTTCCCATTGTTTTGTTGTCCCTGCTGTATGTCCCCAGAGCCCCACTAAGCACTCACTCCACCCTTCACTTCAGGGGAACATCAGTGGAAGATTGATTGATTGATTGATTGATTGATTGAGAGACAGGGTCTCACAGTGTAACTCTGGCTGACCTAGAAATCACTATTTAGACCAATCTGGACTGGAACTCCCGGAGATCCATCGGCCTCTGCTTGCCGAGTGCCGGGCTCTCTTTCGGGGAGACTGTGAGCAGTACATTGCAGCACATCTTTTGTGAGACGTTCAGGCTCACAAGAGATTTTTTCTGCTCTTTCTATTCATCTTACTGACCCAGAAGTTCCCTGGTCCCTCTCTGCTCTCACAGCTCAGTCAGGGGATATGTACCTAGTATCCACAATGTGCTGTGTGCTGGGATGGTTCTTGGCAGGACACAGCACACAACATTGATTCCCACAACATTTAAATGTAGAGAGATCTGACACTTAACTCCTGAGGCTGGGCTCCTGCTCCCCCCCATGGTATGTCTGCTCTTCTTGATTCAACATGACCCTGCTGGGCAAAAGCATTACCTCCTAGGCCTTGGCCCATTGCCCACCATCAGGACTTCTAGTGTCTGATGTGAATTCTTACTGAGGATTCAAATGCGCAGCCACTCCTAGCAATACAACCCTGTGCTCTGCTTGCTGAGTGGTAATGGGGAATTATGTAGGTCAGGGGCCCAAGGGACCAGTAATTCATGTGGGAGCTGGGCTTTTTCTGGACTGGATGATCCTTTGCAAAAGTGGTCTAACAATAGAGCTGGAAGAAGAAAGTCTACTTGGCTTCTGTTAAATTAGCTAGATGTCTATTCTCATGTCCACATACAACTCCGTGTTCAGCATTGTCATGATTAAGTCCTAGACTTTAATGAAAATATAATGTTACACTAATCCAGATACCAGAAGTCGTAAGTGATAAGATCAGAGGTCACCTGTGCCTGTCATTGGTGTATGTGTGCATATATGTGTCTATGTGTATATATTTGTGCATGTGTATGTGAGCATATGTGTGTATTTGTGCATGTGTGTGAGTATGTGTGTGTATTTGTGTGTGTGAGTATGTGTGTGTCTGTGTGTGTGAGCATGTGTGTGTATTTGTGTGTGTGAGGATGTGTGTATGAGAGTATGTGTGTATCTCTGTGTGTGTACTTGTTCATGTGTGTGAATATGTGTGTGTATTTGTGTGTGTGAGTATGTGTGTGTCTGTGTGTTTATTTGTGCATGTGTATGTATGCATGCGTATGTCTCTGTATGTGTCTGTGTGCATGTGTCTATGTGCATGTATGTGTGTGCACAGTCACTGTCGTCTGTAAACAGCATCCTTCTGCAGAGGTAAGACACAATGTGAATAGAGCACATGGAATACAGTAGATCCTGGCTGTCACTCGGGGTTACCAACACTCGCTTTTGCCCCCACTTTCCTTCCATTTCTGCTTTTCCTTCACCTGGCCACCAGGAGACAGCACGTTTTCTAGAAGGAAGGAAGAGATTTTTATTGCTATGAAGTGTTTAGGAAGAGTTACAAGGGTGGATGGGATGGCTCGATGGGTAAAGGTGATTGCTGCCAAGAATGATATGATCTGAGCTTGATCTATGGTACCCACATAGCAGAAAGAGATAACTGACTCTGGAGCTGTTCTCTGACCATATGCGTGTACATGCACACACAGGTACATGCTTGCACAAACACATGCATGCATATAATAAAAAAGAAGAAGACATGATCTAGTTTGATTTCTATTGCTGTGATAAAACACTCTGACTAAAAGCAATAATCTTACAGGTTGCAGTCTGTCATCAATGGAAGCCAGGGCAGAAGCTCTAAGCAGGAACCTGGAGGCGCGAACCACGAGGAATGCTGCTTACCTTGTCTCAAAACAGTAAAAGGAAAAAAAGAAAAGAAAAAGAAAAGGAATTGCAGTGGTCATGTTTCACAGCAACAGAAACCTTAGCTAAGACAACACATATGCCATAAAACAAATAATAAATATATTTTTAAAGGGAGAATTTTGTATCAATTAAAATGATAGTAAACACAAATAAATAGCCAAGTCCATCTAATGGGGGAGTGGCCAAGTCAACCAGATTGTACCCACACCAAATAGCCAATACTGCTCAACACCATAAAAATGTGGATATGACCATTGCTAAATATTTATTTTAATCAAAGTAGACACTTGTGAGGCTTAAGCAAGAGGACCACAGGTCTCAGGCAAGCCTGTGATACATAGCCTAGGTATATAGTGAGATCTTGTCTGAAAAAAAAGATAAAAATAATATTGTTTAAATGATTTTAAGTTCATGGGTGTTTCACCTGCATGTCTGTCTGTCTATTTATCACTTATGTGCTTGGTGTATAGTGCTCAAAAAGGCCAGAAGAGGGAATCAGATCCCCTGGAACTGAAGTTACAAACAGTTATGAGCCACTGTGTGGTTGCTGGGAATTGGACCCAGGTCCTCTGGAAGAGCAGTCAGTACTAACTGCTGAGCCATTTCTCCAACTAATTACAATAATTTCACAAATTGTGGAATATGTATGTATATATGCACACATTTACACACTGTGTAAAAGAGAACTGTGGTGTCAAATCTGACTACTTTTCAATAATGCTTGTGAGGTTTGGATCCGTTTACATGGTAGTGTTAACACTCCCAGACTTACCAGATGTTACTACATCTCAACTTCTTTACCATGTGGATCTATGCAGCTCTCAGATCTCCATGGCCACAGCATCTCCTGGACCAACATCAGTCAGAACCTCTTTGGGGGTCAGGTACCACAATTCGTATCTAGCAGAGGAAATGAAAGCTTCCTCCACTGTTGCCCTTCACGGACCTCCACCTGAAGCCTGGAAAGTGAGTTTCTGAGTCACTAGCAAGGAGAAGGCCTCTCTGAAGGGGCACACTGTCTCACTTTCCTCATCACTACAGTTGGTGACATTATTCCCGATACCTCCAAATTGCAACTGACCTTTCCTTGAGAGAGCTAACAAGAAGAACATTTTTAAATTTGAAGTTCTTCACAGGTATTTTTGGCTTTTCCCTGGAAGACACCATCAAAGATTATTTACCCTTTACATAGAAAATGACTCCAGGGCTGGAAAGATGGCTCAGAGGTTAAGAGCACTGACTGCTCTTCCAGAGGTCTTGAGTTCAATTCCCAGCAACCACACGGTAGCTGACAACCATCTACAATTCAATCTGGTGCATATGTGATAAATAAATAAATCTTAAAAAAAAAAAAAAAGAAAATGACTCCAACCTCATCTAGAACTTAGGGTCTCTAGTGTCGTTGACTTTTGGTCTATCAGTCTGTTTTAAAGAGTTTACTACAGAGGGCACAGGGTTCACTTGTAGGGTGGCCACTGGAGTTATCTACACTAGACGTAAAACAGAAGGCTACCAGTTTGAGACCAGTTTGAACTACATAGTGAGGTCCAACCTGGCTATGTAGTGAGCTATCTCAAAAGGACACAAAGCAAAAAATCAAACAAAACAAAATCAAGAAGCTTTCTAATTACCAGGA